TACGGCACTACCTGAACTCATTGAGGGGGTAAAAGTTCATCTAGACATTGATTTAACGGACAAAATATTTTTGAATTGGATAAACCTGAACTTGAAACCCAGTTTTCCAAGGAGACTCTCCTGCGTTGCACCAGAAATCCATCGCAATCCAAGAAAACAAAGTGTATTGGGTTAAGGGAAGGATCGGACTGTCGCCGTTGATGGTCGAAAAGTCAGTGTTAACTGCGTGGAACATGCGGTCATCATGGAGCATTAACGTAATTTATTGTAAGTGAGACTTTTGAACTGCAAATGTGTTTTACCTGGTTCCAGATCAAGTGGCTACTGATCCGATCACCGAGTTCGGTAATTTACTTACAGATGTTTAACCACAAATCTTCGAGACATCGTCAGTGAGTGAATGGGTTTGTGGTTTCAGAAATGCACGTTGGCCTCTTGTTTCAAAATCACGTGAAAGATGATTCTAGAATACAAAGATCAGTCGGCCTAAATAAGGGCATGATACAGACCTGAACTAAATGAGATAAGAACTGTGACTAAGCGCCTCACCAATTCACACCAGTGTGAATGAAGTTCCTGCTTTATCTCCATAAAATTCGCATATTTGTGCACAATGAAACAGGCATCACAGCTACGTAGGTAATTTAACTACACGCATATCTCAGGTGGTTTTTAAGTGCCTAAAAGCACATATTTGAGTAAGTAGAGTTCTGTCGACATTGGTCTAGTCATTACCATAGCTTGAATTCATCTCAGATATTCACCATATATTACGTGCACTAGGAACCCAATTCACGGCTGTCTATCAAAGCTCACCCTCAACAACGGAGATGACAACGACTCCAATAAACGAACTTTGCTTCATCACAAAAATACTGGCGAGTCATTCATATGTCTGGAACAAGGTTAAATCCACCGTCAAGTGAAATCTGGTACCCCCGCTTTTGTTTGATGTTAGTTTACAATACCAGTGCAAACATTCGCTAAAAAATTCCAGACTAGTTGGTGAAAGCCTGCTATGATGTTTACAAATATGCTTACGGTTTACTTCTGGAAGGATAAGACAAGTAAGTAAACGTACGTTGTGCGGTGATTTTGGATTGAAGACACTGCCCAATGCCTTGTGAATTCCATGCAGTTTACCTAAAAGCAAGCAGAATTATCCGTTGTCAGATTGCACCTCGAAAAATTTGAAGCTCCAAAGGACAGCAAAGAAATAAGAGTTTTACCATGAGAAACCAAGTGGTTCATTTACATACTTGCGACAACGGTTTCAGGACGTATCCTCTCAAGAAAAACAACTACTGATTGCTTCTTGGAGCTCATCAGTTAGGCACAGGCGTTGAGTTTCTTCCATTCTCAGTTCTTACTTTAATACCAAATATCATACAAGTGGAGTTATACACTCATCTGGATGATTACTTGGTTTGGACGGAAGCTCGCTTGAATATAATTTGATTACACGCGCGGTTTTACGCTCAAAATATCCAGCCCCCATGCACACAGAGACGCAGTGAATTGGAATAACAAAAAATAATAACAATAAAATGATAATAGTAATAATAAAATAATAATAATAAATATTAAAAACAAATAATAATGACAAAATAAACTTGAAGCTTCAACTACGCGATAGTTTATACACGGCGATTTAGTCTTCACCAACTGGAATTCCGTCACTAAACTAAAACCTTCTAGCCGCTAAATAATAACTTAGGTATTTTTTCAAGTGTTTAATATGAGCGTTTGCATCTCACGAAAGACAAAACCTTACTCTCTTACGTAAAATAAAAAAAAATGGTGTCATCCAAAAAACCAAATCATTCGGTGAATGTTATCAAACGAATTCATTTACACCCACTTAAGTAAAAATGAGTGAAACTAATTCCTTTAAGTGAGGTGGCCGTTCTTACAATGAACTTTACAATTAATAAGTTGTGGGTGGTTGCGGAATTTGTAGAATTCACGTTTATATCACTTGGACATCTGATTTGCAAGGCTAGCGTGTTACCACCAACCCACCAGCCCACGCTGGACATGAATGAACTATCAAACTTGAACAGGTGAACGTGAATTCTGCGAATCCAGCAAACACACAACTAATCCAAAAACTTTCCATCAGAGTTCAGACGTCCATGGCTCTACTTGATGAGGCATTCCTTTCCTGACAGGCAGATCAATCGATACACACTACCAGGGCAGTTACTACGTTCGGGCCGTCACATCGCTCAAGCGTGAACACGTTCGCTTGTTCAGGCCGAATAATTCAGGTACGTCTGGCCGGCGCTGGCGGAGTGGTGGCAGCAAGCTTCCTTTGCTAGTCAATTGTTGGGTTTTCAAGCACGGTACGGCCAAGTGTATGCATTGCTGATGAGTTTCAATTGGGGTAAAACTTTAGTCCAGTGCTTTTCCCTTTTGGCGTGTACTAGCCAGCATATTTGTCCCAGAAAAGGAGGACTGGTCAAACGAGAGTGATTTAAGCTTGAATTTGCATAAGGTTTGTATGCTTGCATTTTGGGGTCTCCGCGTTCATATAACTATTCCGACCGACTTGGCGTCATGTTCCAGGTGCAACTGTCTACCTTGCAATGTCCCTTTTGAAGCAATTTAGCTTGTATTCCAGACATCCAATATGACTCTGAAACAAATAATATCGTCCACGCAATCAATAGGACACTGCAACCTTCCGCAAAACTGCATAACTACCTAAATGCAGCACATGTTCAGGCGTGTTTATGCCTTGATGCGTACATTGGAGATGTATATGGTTGAACATCCGTTGACGTTTCAACCAAAAACTTGGCGAACACGGTAAAACACCGTGACCCCCAGTTAATTTTGAACAACAAGGGTAACGACAACAATGTTACAGGCTTACTTCAGTTTGCATAATTTAATGAGACGCGATACACGCCAGGTGGGTCAAAACGAGACAAACTACAGCGCATATTACATTGCTTGTATCAAACTGAGAATCACTGTGTCCAAATGAAATGACCAAGCCTTCTTATGCATTTTCTAAGCACACAGCACCGACCTGAACGGAGGCAATGTTGGAGCTCATAAGGACTTGAGTTCTAATCTTAGACAGTTTTGATTTATTGACTGCTTCCATTAGTTTCCGTTCATGTTATTTTCCGCTTCATAACTTTGTTTTACATTTATTTCAGCTTACGAGATGGTTGTTCAGTCAGCGACAATTCTCGAACTGTCACCAAAAATATTATCGTGGTAGAATGCCAGGATGAAAATAACCGATTGTCATACATTAAATGAAGGATCAATTGGGGCAACCGTTCAGTGATTATCAGTAATGCACGTAAGCTGGTTATGGTGACACTCTTGATGGATCATACCTAATTGGTTCCATTATTCCAGCGCCCATGATAAATGTTTCATGTTAAAGTTGGAAAGAGAACAAGATTAAGAGCCATATATATATTATATATATACTGATACAGGTAAAAGTGATTCACAATCGAATCTTGACAGTTTTATTCAACCTCCGAAATCTGATGTCAACTACCACAGCTAACACAAACAACTACAAGGCTGTAGAATAATACCGCACAAAACCTTTCCTGGAGTAAAGAGAAGACATCTAGACCTTCATCCTCATCAGACCCGATTCCTTACCCGAACCGATGTTATTCTTGGCAATCTATTCAATAACTAGAATTTTCTAACTGAACCACATGGAGCCTAGGTTGCAACCGGCTAAAATGAAGACTTTCGGGAGGTACAAACTTTACGTACTGTAAATATCACAGACTTATACACGAAAAGAAGTACCAAATGCATAGGCACAATGCACTGATCCTTTGGATGATGATAGCGAATAAAAGCTGTCCGCGTACTACTGATGAATCAAGTTTCATATTTTATATAAAACCTCGCTCACTATACTATCTGATTAGATATGACATCAGACACACGCTAGCCTACGTGAGTTACGTGTACGTATCGCAAGTTTCCATGAATTTAGATGCGTATTACCTGATTTTGCGTGCTGCGCTTTCACAGAAGGCGTGATGCCATTCTAATACCCCAGAAACCGTGATGCGTTCAGCCCATGGCAAAATTGCCTCACCGATTGGGACTAAGGTTGGACGGCACCAGTAGAAGAGCTAAGTAAACAAATGCCTATGAATATTTTTTTCTTCGACCTCACAATAACTAGCGCAGCCCTAAGTCAGTAGTATCTAGCTTTACAAATATTAGTCTCACACTGCAGGGTATCACATACTCCGATAAGTGACGACCCAGACTAAACTTTGTGTCAAAAATACATTCCAAACTTAAGCACAGGAAAAAAACGGACAGACTTATTATTTGTCATTCATAACAATGGGTCTCACCCAGACTGCGCAACGTCAGGGTCAATATACTCAAATTATTGCTCTCTAAGGGAATGATATTGCATCGTTTGGTATCCCTGTTGGAAAAGAACAGAGTGCGGTGCTTAGTTGCTGCAACTTTGCTTTTGCTAGAGTCGCCAGTGCTTTGTCACTTGCTGTAGTGAACTCATCTGACTCACTGTGCTGATAGGATTGACCGGTAAAGCAGTAAGTCAGAGTGGATACGATTTCCCTATTTCAAACTTTATGTGCTTTCCTGAAGTAAAAGGAATTTTGCTACATAAATGCAAATTAGATCCTTAGCGTCAAAGTATACTTCATGAGACAACAGTTCACTCTTTCGGCCAGTCAACTGGTTCACTTCTTACACTTTTTATTCGAAAATATTACCCAATTTTTAATTCGTTAGTGACGCCAATACTGAGGACTGTGTAGAACGTAATGGTACCTATCGACTTGGGCTTTTTAATGCGTTGTTTTGAACCCTTGATTTTTCGGTTTTACTGGAAAACTGTACAATGAATACGGCCTCAGTTTTATGCCAAAACGAAAATGTTGCCTGCCACCTATGAAACGAATGATCTTCACTCAAGAATGCGGAACCACAGCGTACATTGAAAAAGGATTGAAAAATCAATAACCTCAAGATATAAAAAGCGTACCTTGATTGTTGCTAGAAGAAATTCTCTTGGCCTTGTCTGTGCTGGTGTCAGAAAGCTTTCTAGGTCTTATCGGTATCTTTCCCAACTTAAATCCGTGTGTGCTGCCTGCCGGCCTCCGAAGGCGATTTGGCATAAGTTTTGTCCCATGAAGTGCGTACGTAACCAGCAATAGGAGACATAGTAAGATTACTATCAGCAACCCGATACCAAGACCAGTGACAAGCTCTGAATTCCAAGCTATTATTGCACTAGATGTCTGCCTGTATGGAGGGTTATCCACGAGACTAAATCCAGGTCTTCGTCTCTCGGTTACCAGCGATGCACCAGTGTGCATATGTTCTTCCGGGCGTTGATTTGACGAAAGTTTATTGCGACGACCTTTGTCCGATTCATTGTAAACTGCTGGTCCGTTGGGACTGACCAATTTTGATAAACCGCTCTTGGATGTTGCAACGCTCTCGGCCAATTTAGATTCAATTTCCACATGGAGAAATGCATAACTCTGCTTCGCCGGGGTTCCGCAGTCTTCCGCGAAAATCACAAATTTATCTGGTCTGTTGAGATCAGACGCATGTAATCGCTGATTCAAACGAACCTCTCCCGAGCTACGATCAATAACAAAATATTGGTTGTTGGAAGACATGTTTGTCTGATTCAAAGACGGTTTTCTAGAATTCATCAATTGCCATACCCCCAGATAGACTTCTAGTGAATAGATTACGCGACCATTTTCACCGTCATCGGGATCCGTGGCGAGGGCAGTATATACTACTGTCCCTGGACTGGTTGATTCGGGTAACCTTAGAGTTGCTACTGGCAGCATTGATCCAGGCGATCGATAAGGCAATACTGAGGTCTGATCAGTTAAGAATGAATCTATCCTGCTGCTTGGTGGTCTGACAAAACTGGGTGCATTGTCATTTTTGTCCAAAACCTTCACTGTGAGTGTTGTTGAGAAGGAAAGTGATACATTACTTCCGTGATCCCGTAAAACAACCGGAAGGAAGTAAACATCTTGTTGTTCTCTGTCAATGGTAGCATTAGCACCAGGGTAGACAAACAAATTCCCATCCGAGCGAAGAAACCAGCGCAGATTACACGCCGAATCATTTTGTGCATCGGGTAAACTGAAAGTCACTCGTCCACTGTCATTCAAGTCAGCATCTTCAGCTTTCAGGTGTCCAACAAATATCTGCCTGTTGGTATACCATGTTGATTGGTAGTTTGCAATAGATGGCCCAGTCCCAATCTCCTCCTCAATCCAGAATGTTGTGTTGCTAACCAGTCTTGGGACATTGTCATTCACGTCACTTACTTTCACATTAACCCATGCTAAATTCGTACGGTTTGGGAACTCAGCGTCAAATGCAACTACTGGGATACGCCAGGAGTCATGTGTTTCACGATCCAGTGGCAACTTTCCAGCCCGTATCCATCCTGTTGACTCTTCAATTTCAAAATGGTTCCTAAAAGTTTTACCATCAAAATCAGTGTTGTTTTGGCCCGTAAGATCATTATGATCAGCGAACCGATAAAACGTTTGACTATTCGGTCCAGGTGCATCTTTATCAATGGACTTGAGCTGAATTAAACGTGTCCCATGTACGGTGTTCTCTGGTACTTGGATATTCTGATTGTGCGAGACGAAACGTGGTCCGTTATCATTTTCGTCTAGAACAAAAATTTTGACCAGACTAGTTGATGACAGCCGTCGCGCTTCGTGTAGTTTTCTAACCTGAAGTCCAGATGACCCATCCCCTGAGTCACCGTGATCATGACAGATGACAGCGAGCAGATAGACCTCTTGATCTTCACGATCCAATAAGCGATTAGTGACCAGCACGTAATCAGCGCTTCGACGACCGGTTGGGTTAGGTTCTGCAGCAAAATTTGAGGACGGTGCATTTAGGCTGGTCGTGATTTCTTTACTGGACGCAGGTTTTAGAATGAAAGAAGTCTGCTTGCTAAGAGTATTCACGAAACTGGTTTGATCTGTCGGCGTTTTCATCATCATAACTGGAGGTTCGTCGAGTCGGCAGGCGACGTCGCCCGCTGGACCCTTGTCACGATCTGACGCGGATATCTGAATAACAAAAACGCAAACGGAATTCGTAGTTCACTAACAATTTGTAGCTTCACCGGAGAAGAATTCATTTGTATGGTTTTTGCTTATTCCCGGACAAATATTGTGACTTGAATTAGCCAAACTACCAGAAAGTGTGTCCACTCTGTGTATGTACGTACGTACATAGGTGTGTATGATAAAAATTTTTTCATTGAGCAGACAGTTTTACGATATACACTGCAATCGGCTGACAGGTCACTCTGCAGACCAGACAGTCAAGTGTCAGGCCTGGTGCTATTACTAGTTCGACCAATCGTGAGAACACAGTTGCTCTAGTTGAAACTCTAAATCATTCGAATAAGCGAGAGATTTATTTAGCAACTTATGGCACATTTGATATTAAATGTGGGTGTGGGACAGTCATGTCAACGATGGTGGGATGTAGGATACCGTATGCAAGTCTAGAATGCCTTCCCTGAGAAATAGCCATTCGCGATAACCGTAACTTTTATTTATCAGCCTTATATGTAAGAATAGAGTGCATTACAACCTCTATTTGTTAACCATTGAAAAGAAAACCAGGCAACACCCACTGACGTCACATAAAATTATTGTTGGTGGAAAATATGTGCGTTTTTTTAAAAAAAAACGGAATATTGTACAATAAGGAACGATTACTATTACTAATACGCTTAACTACCAAAAACTGAAAGCTCACGCCATGCCAAATAGATCACACTAATTAGCACAACTCGGAGTGAAAAAATTCGTGCCTATATTCTGATATGATAAGATTTTTAAAGATTGACTGACGTCTAAATCTTCAAACTAATTCCGGCGTAGAAATCGCCTCAAGGTGCTCTTTGTATATATCAGTTTAATAGCGAACTGGGTCTACAGAAACAGCATATCTTCCACAATGACTCTTGATCCAGGTTTGCTCATTTGTGTAGGTATAAACCGATGTGAAAAGTGCTCGTTTGTCCTACTGCGAGGTATATCCTGATGTTAGCGTTTTTCACTACTTCAACAAATGAAACTTAGGGACATTCCAGTGACCAGTACAGTAGCTAAGGACGCTCTTTTTCATTCGAGTGACATTGAAGTCAGTGTTCATGTTTTCCTGGTTCTGACACTTTTACGCCTGAATACAATAGCGGTCTACGAATTCGAGTTAAACTACGGAATGCGTGAAGTTACGCGTACATGAAAATGTGAGCCAAATGCGCGGTGAGTATGAACGTTTCCAAACCCTTAATTCACATGGTGTTGAAAAGTAGCATAAGAGATGTAGTAATGTTTTATTCAGTTTCTCTGGTTACACACTTTTCTTGATGCATTACTTGATATAAGCCTATGGTATCTTGGGATTTAGGATCAACATCTATTCACGTATAAGTCAAAGCATTTTAGTGATATCTAATAGATAATCAGGGGTTTTACGGTATACGTAAAATATCCTGCGAGAAAAAGAAGCGAGTGAGTAATAGGCCAAATGGGGTAGTCGAAAAGCATCATCAAAGTTTGTTCCATTGGAAGAAATATGTTGAAGTTCAATACAGGAGAAGATCGTATTTTCGGTAACAATCAATTGCTTCCAAAACAATACCGGGTAGTTCTTCTAGCCAAGTGGTCTTCAGCAACTGTCAGTTAGATTCCAGCTTTAGCTGTGCTCATCTGTGCTCATTTTTTCCAGGAATAAAGGCGCAGAAGAAGAAAATTTAACGACTGACTTTCCTTATCTCAAGGAAAATGACAAAAATGCGTAAATTATCTGCAGATAGAGCAATCCACTCTGGTAGACCTTAAGTAATTCCGGGTTTTTTAGTCATCAAATGGTTGCAGATGTACATACCACTCTCGCAAGGTATGCACTTCTAAATCCGGCTGTTTCAGGCTTTTGCCTAGAAAAGGATGTCTGATGAACTGTTTGAGGATTCTGTGGTCCCCATTCAGTCGCGTTTCTTTCCACTTATCTTCGTATCACGGGAAGTGCTGCATCTCTTCTAGTGTGCTCTGGTTAAATAAAAGCCAGTAGCCGAGGGGGCAAGGTTCTAGTTTGGACGCTGATTTATGTCCCGGATGTATACTGATTAGAGGCTGTGATTATTCGTCATATGACAATTCAATAGATCTTCCGCTTGTCCCGATGAGCCCATCAAACTTGAACCGTGCTGTCCAGAAACTCTTTCCTACTTGCAGGTCTACCAAGTAGACTATTGTTCTGTTCTGTCTACTCGGCTTACAGAAACAGAAGCTTATTCATGTTATACATCCACTTTGTTGAATTATTGTTTGGATGAATGCTGCTACGGGTGTGCGTTAAGAGTCTATTGTTTGTGATGCAAACTACGAGTAAACTACCAGTGTACCCTTCACACAACGTAGTTTGATTTTATCAGTCTTTTGTTCCGAATCGGATAAACGTGCCTCCATTACTGTATATTTCGCCTTGCATTTAATCGTCAGGGGAAATGAAGATACGGGAAAAAGCATTGCGTTTTCTAGCCACCGGAATGAAGCTGCGAAAAAGAGCTTGTTTTTTGTGGTTGTTTTTGTTGTGAAAATATGAATGACTACAGGACAGTTACGCTTTACTAAATTTCAGTTCATGAAACAGGCACAGCTCGGTCTCATCATACCAGACTCAAAAAGGAAACAGATCAAATGACACCAGCGAATTTTAAAGTAAGAAAAGTAGCACCAAAAATACCGGTCCATGTGCGTTGCTAGGTTTTTTTAGGAGTCTTGTCGAGTCCTACGCAAAAAGCTTCTTAAATTAACTACCACTGTATGCTGTCGTTTCCGTTGTTAACGGGCTTTACTACGATAGCTTACATTCAAAATTTACTGTAATAACCAAGCCTGCAGTGTCAAAAGCAATCTTTGCTGTTTGGCTGCAGATTGGCGTTCAGTCCGGCCAGGTGAAATTCACTTTCAGTACACTTGCAGTGGAGAATATCTTGTGCTATTCCAAGTAGGTGAACATACTTTGTGAGTACTCCAAGGTCGGCCGTATTTGACCTTGCTGCAACAGCGGTTCTGTTTTGTATGTACAACACGACACAATGTCACACAACTATGGCTACCTGTCTAGTGAATTTTTTTTATCGCAGTTTCCTTCAGATTTAGACAGACGTCATCACGAAACCTACATGTTTAAGTCATTTCTATCACCCTTGGTTTGGTCTTCAAGTTCACTGCAAATCATCAATAATGTGTCGCATGTTGGATTCCACGAACATAGCATCTGCTGATATAATTTTTTTTCAAGATGGTAACACCAATGTTGACCGCACAACTTAGGCTGGCTGATTGTTCAGTAACCAAGAACTACATTCAAGCAATTCAGAAATATGCTAATGAAAAAAAGAGTTACAGTTGCTTACATCGGTTAACGGTAAATACGCATGTCGTGAGATAACTCTGATTATGATCATTCTAATTCCAGTTACGAAATCCGAATTTTCGAGTGGAAGCAGGAAATGAACTAGGTTTAAGTTGTCTACGGTAGGAAATGTTTGAGGATAGAAACGGAAAGTAACTGCTTTGATGTGATACTGAGATAAGGTATGGGAGTTAATTTTTCACCAAATTATATGATATGAAAAGGGTTTTTCTGCGACCCAATCATTCACCCGCAAAGCTGACAGGAATATTGAGTAAAATGGGACTTTCGCGTTGATATGAACAACAATGTAACGAATGGGCACCAAAATGCCAAAACATTTCACCACTGTACATCCAATCTTAAGTTGGATGAATCTGTGATAGATATTTCCTCAAACACAGTTCTTTTAGCTTTGTTTCAGCATTATTCAAATTAACGTGAAGGGAGAGCTAACCAAAGTTATCACGGAGAACTTCAAAAAGTCAGCTAGATTAATAAACGTAGGTGTTCAATAGCCTTCTTGTGCTTTATTAATTTGAATTTTTCGGTTGCAATAGTGGTTTCTTGATTGCCTGGAGAAGAATCTACTGCCTTCTGATTAAAATACCCTCTAAACACTTTGGCTGTAGAATACTCTGCGATACAAAAAACTAGTCTTCTGTTACCGATATACATTTTACTTCCCATGCTCAATGCCCTGGGTGAGAAGCATCTTTCACTGGTTCTCAGGAATGAAGATTAACAAAATTATACATTGATGCCTGAAAATGATACCCTAGAATACTAACACAAGATCAGTAACACCAAAGTATGCAGCAGGAAATTTTGAGCTCCGCGTTGTCCAATACGAAGCGTGAAAAAATCCTGCAGATGTGACTTAGCAACAACATCCATTTAGTTTTTGAACCAGTAACACTTCAGGTTAGAATGGTCTTCAACCATTTGGAGGCGATGTTCTGTTTTTGCCTGTCATCCACAACCCCAGGGTTTCCTGTTTTTTCAAGGGTGGTCAAATTGGTGCCTAATGCAGAATGATCAAAGCCATTTCAGAGATGCAGTATTAAAAAAGCCACAATGAATTTAGGAATATTCTGTGGCGGTGGAGAGTTCAATAGAAATATGACCGAAAATGCTCGCTGCTGTTCGGGGTTCCTCCGTCTCTGGAGGGTAAGATTACTGTTATTTAACGTAGACGTTTGCATTACGGTAACATGTGAAGAGTACTCAAATGACTGCTATCAGCCCATCAACAGGGGGTTAAACCACTGGAGGTTTCCTTGTATTAAATGGCCAAAAAGAGTTTGTCAGGAGTTGAACGAGGTTTTGCGGTCAGTCCCTTGACGCCGACCTGAATGCGAGGGAGAAGATCCGACGGTAATTGTGCAGAGTCCTGTTGGAAGCCATCAGTCCGCAAAAAAGTAATGGCATACCAGCGACCACCGGTTCCAGTTACCTGGTTACGATCGACGGACTGGTGTCTTCCGTCAATTATTTTCAATTTCTAACATAGGACAAAATGATCTGGTGAAGCACCGTGCAGGTGTTGCCGGAAGCCCTCCATTGACACACCGTCAATATGTTGGTGGATAACCTGGTGTTATTCGATTAACCTAGCGCTTAAGAACGCTGTTACTCCTTAGATGACGATTCTGCCATTATAAAGTAGAATGAGCTAACCTGGGTTTCAGCATTTGACATTTTCAGGCTGGTTGGTAAATAAGCTGGCGACCCGCAAGGCCCATCCGTTCATGGCAGATGCGTTTGGCGCAAGTCCACACAGACCAGGTATTAGGAGGTTTTAACCCATCTCGAATCTCCCCCTTATTTCCAACGCTCTAAAGCGTATAGTTTCAATGCTCTTATTTGTCTGGTACTGTCGAGTGGCAGGTCACCCACTGTCCTGAAAAATTAATTTCATTTTTGTAAACTTGTCGGAAGACTCGTAATGACGGAATTTAAGCTTTCCCGATTTCGAACTGTTTTCTTCAACCGGCCATATGGAGTTGTTCCGGGACGCAGGTTTCGGCCGTTCATTCCAAGTTGTCTAACTAGCTCAGCTGGCTCTGCATCAGACTGTAGTCAAATCCAACAGCACATACACTTTGAAGCATTTCGCTGTTCGGGATTCCCTCAATCCATTTGTTCCGAGGACTATTGCCCAGATAGAACTCGCCTAAGGATCCGAGCATAATTTTCATGCCGTCCAGGGCAGGTTGTCATACATTATTTAAGAGAGCATAACGGTCCAGTTTACTGCTTTCTTGGTACATTTGCGCAACAGGAGATAATTCCTTCAGGTGCGTATCGCAAGGCGAGGAAATGCAGCGAGTTCTATTGCGATTCGTGCATTTACTGCATTCTTGAACATCAGGTCTGTGGGTATTGTGTTGTCAAGATAACAAAACCAGGCAGCAGTCTATCTTCACGATTTTGCAATTCTTGGCAAGACTATCTTTAGTTTTGTTGTTTTCTATAAACTGAGGTTACTGAAATTTTAATCCGTAGATTTCTTTCACTCTGGTGGAGAATTTTTTTGTGATGACGATGAACCTCACGTGATCAGAATGCTTCACTTCGTTTGGGAGATGACCTATTCTTCATTTTTCGCAGATGGTTTTTAGAGTCTAATCTCAGCGCTTCTGACTTACTTTCGAGCCCCTGTGTTTTTGGATCTGTCCCGTAGAATTTGAGTTCTTTAGAAGAACACATTTCATATCTGACCTCTTTATTGTTTTACGGGTGATTTCTGACTCTCTACGTTACTGGTCTTGTAGACTGTTGAGCCTAGCAATGTGGGTTCATTTTGGGTACTGCATACCGAGTCTATGATTTCAGGGTTCTACCTGTAAGACGGCTGGGGCTGATCTAATCTGAGGGTGCGAGAAACATGTCATGGGTACACCAAGCGGTCCCCGAAGAGCACTGAAATCTCGGTTCTTGACAGCAATTTGACCGTCTGGTAGTCACGGACTAAATTCGGGTGATCTGAATGTGCGGATTTATTTGTGCCCAGGTGTTTCAACCCGCCCATCTTGGAGGTAGACAACACGGCTGGTTCTATAAACATGGAGATGTGGGTCGATTGGGAGAAACACACTTACACTGTTTCCGCAGTGAAAAACTTCACATTACCTTCAGGGTTCCACCGATAAGATTTCGTGTTGCCCGAGGACTTGCTACTCTGCTTTGGACTCCCCCACTAGCCTCTCTGACATAATGAAAACCTAATGAACTAAGTTTCAGTCTGTGTAGCCAGCAGGATTGTTTAAGCATTGAATTATGAAGATGAGGCGGCTTTATGACAGAAGAGAATAATTGTAAATAAGAAACATCATACAGTTTAAAGCCTCAGCATAAGAAATAGTTCACATATCACGGACCACCTGTGATGTTCCATTTTACTCAACAATGGACCGAGGATTGCATCATGTAGAAATGGCGCAATAGTTGTGTGTCGGCGGAACAAAAAGGGAATACATGTATAATATGCATATATGCATTACGCTGCAAGCACTTGCGCCAAAACTGAGATTAGTTAAATGGCCACAACTTGTGATTTCATCACGATGAAAACCCATATGCTTGTTGTCTACACAAACAACACCGGTTAAGTCTTAGCAACTTAGCCTACTTGCTTCCACTGTTTGTTTGTGACAAGCCAGGGCGTGTACAAGGTCTCCTCAGATATTATTCGCCGAATCAACTTTGAAAGAACATCAAAATGACCATCACCCAGACAGTGGAAAGCGGAATAACTAGCTGTCATTTACATTTGTTGTGACTGAAAAGTCATGGAAAACTAGGTATCACAAACTTTTTCGCAGCTGATCACGTTTGACGTTTGTTAGGGCTTAGCTAGTGGAAGGATGAAAATGTACAATAGTGAATTTTGTCCAGCTTACCTTGGCAACGAACGTTCCAGATGGCAGGTTCTCTTTGACGGTAAGTACGTGAAACCGTGATGTGAACGAACCTCCAAACAAAGTCCCCGGAGATGCGGTGTTTAGTTTGGTCAGTGGTGTGATTCCCCGGATTTCCACAATAGGTGCCTCATCGTTCACATCAATCGTACGAATGACAATTCCTAGCGTACTTGTCCTCACTGGTCTCCCAGCGTCTGTAGCGATTATCTGGAATTCAAACATTTTTGGTCCAGTTTCGTAGTCCATCTGATGAATGAGCGTAATCCAACCATCTGCCGTGCCTACACGAAAGTAACGTCTGATTTTCAAGTCGGTTCCACTAGCTAGTGAATACTCGGTTGATCGACGCTCTGCACCGGCCCCCTTCCCGACGTCGCCATCCATATAGACGTCTTTGTCAGTTGCGACGACACGGTATATTCGACTACCAACTGGCATATTTTCCGGAATGTCGATTGCCAACTTTGGAAACGAATTACTAGATGCGTTCTTTAAGCACTCCAGGAGAACAGATGAGTGATATCGTGCCATGTCCCGAAACAAGTCCGGATGGTTGTTCTGTTTGTCTGCTTCAGACACACCCAGATTAAATTGCGGTGCATACTCATTGACTTCCCGCACCAAGACGAAAATCGGAAGTTGGGTCGAATGCCTCGCACTTCCAGTTTCGCAGTTGTCACGTGCAACTAGAAGGAGGTGGTGTTCTGTTTTACGTTCGTGATTTAGTTCTGTTCTACTCAACAGCTTCAGACGTTTTGGCGTATCCAATGAAATTCTGTTGTTTGAATGGGAGACGTCAGAGTTCTCTGAAGACTGGCCATAATCCAGCTCAAAACCTTTTGCGTCCGCACCCTAGTAAGTATGGGAAATAAAAAAATCTTGTGCATAATTTTTGACTGTGTACAATTCATATATGGAATGATAACTGAATGTAGGCGATTATGTTTGGTGTCTGCAGCCTCGAGAGATGGCTAGGCATGCGGAAATATAACTTGGAAATTTTTATAAGGCCAAAAACTGTAAGTCAAGTGTGCCTTAGGTCAAAGATATCTATTATGGTCCTGTGATGATGGAAAAGTCATTCAGTAAGAAAGTTCAAAGCTAAGGTTTCCAGGCAGAGAATATTTTGTATTGTATAATACTATCGTTGCTGTCGTAACCATGATGCCTATTATCAATATTGCTAAGTAAACCGTTGTCCGTAGGAGCGGGTACCCGCCCGAATATTATCAGGAGTGAACATTTCAGTGGGTAGTGAAGATATAATGAAACAGTGACGCTTCGGTGAAGAACGCCTTGTGTGTACAAAAATTGATTAAGTAAGGGTTATCTACAACGTTGAACGCCAGTAAAATGAACAGTTTTGTGGATTTTGTTAAGAAAATATGTCAACAGGAGGAACCTATGTGTGTCATTTATGTAGCCATATAAGAAAAGCTCAACAGAGGAAATTTTCGGCTGGGTATCCAGCTAGGAGGTGATAATCTCTCCACCGCTAGGCCGGTTAGGAATCAGGTTCTGTGGGGTTTTTAATGAAGTACAAAGATATGACACCACAATCAAGTCGTCACTATATGCATTTAATCCAGATTTTTGGCGTGCCTCTGGATGACTTTTCACAGGCACTTCTTTTGAATGGAAAAGGACGCTTAATTTGGTAATCACTGGTTAAGCATTCATTTGCATGTCCGAACCACCAGAATGTGATCAGTACCTTGTGGTGCTCTAGAGATTGCCATCCCATAAAACACGATGTCTTATGTAACACTTCGTACCGTATACAATTCAACTGCCAGGTGGCACCATAAGCAGACGTTACCGTTGATCAGAAGTTTCACTGTCCATACTCAAAAACCTGCAACAACCGTTCCGGGACAAAACAACCACACAACATCCTGTAGTCCTTGTCAGGCGCATTTAGTGTCACTAACAACAGCATTTTGAGTACAAACTTTCATGTATTCATGAGAACGAAGAAGGTAGCGAACAAAGCCTGTTTTCTGTGATTGTTCATCTTGGCTAGTACATAACAAATTTATACGGTATCAGAAATCACGTGGAAAAGGTTAAGATCGGGGTTACATACACTTTAGATGTTTCGTAGGCCAGTTCAAGTTCAGAGGTCGCACAAGTTTCTTTTGGATGCAAAGTTGTGGATCCAGCAGTCGGATTCCTATCGCCTCTGTGATCGATAGTAGTCTGGATCGTACCAGTCGTGATCCGCTCAGAGGTACTCGGTATATGATGGTGAAGGCTTGCTCCTTGTCTATGACATGACAGGTTTCGGCCAACTGTGCTGCAATCGCGCTTGAGTCTGGTATCTTTCCACTACCACTCAGAGATACGGGATTGTGTTCTCGTATTCTGTCCGACAAATGTCTTGTCGTACGACCAATGTATGGTGCTCGGCACGAGCATGCGAATGAGTACACACAAAAGCTGGTGGTAGAACGTGGCAATTTGTCTTTCAAGCAGAATCTGATAGTGGGGCTGGGGTTGAAGCTCAAACATAGATTAGCGGCCAAGTATGTCGTCTCTACGGAGTTTCTAAGCCTTCTGGTGATTAATTCAGCAACCGAGTCACCTTTGAATGGAAGCTTCATGTATACGGGATTCTTCCTAACAGAACACTCCGTAGGTTTGGGCTTAACGGCTTCCATAGTCTTGAGTACGAACCTCTCAGGATATCCGTTCTGCAGGAATGTGCGTCCCAAGAAATTTAGTTCATCTTCTAAGCATTCAAGTGAGCATATCTTCATTGCTCTCTCGGTAAGGCATCTAATTAGGTTACGCTTTTGTTGCAACGGAACGAAGCTATCAAAGTGAGTATACTGACCTTTCCACGTTTGCTTTCTGTGGACCTTGCGTTCTATGGTCCCGTCGGTCTTCTTTTTAAAATTGAAATCGAGGAAGCTTAACTGGCCGTTTTGTTCTGATTCGATAGTAACCTTGATATTAGCATGGACTGAATTGAAACTGCTTAGTGCGTCTGTTGTGCTGAAGGTTTCATCGGCAAGAACGAATATGTCGTCTACGTAGCGGCGATATAATGTTGACCGTCCAATGAGTGCATCTAATGTTTGAGTCTCTAGCTTGGTCATGAAAAAATCTGCCAATATGGGACCTAGAGGAGATACCATCGCGACCCCGTCCTTTTGTCGATAAATTTGATTGTTGAAAGTAAACGGAACATTGTGGGTACAAAGGAACAGGAGTTCCTTAAGATCCGAGGTGGGAATTCCAATATCCTTACCGTTGCACTCAATCAAGTCACAAACATAGTCTATTATCTCGGTGAGTGGTATGTTGGTAAACAATGACTCGACGTCCAGGGAGAACCTGGAGTGTTTATCAACCTTCAAGTCTCCAATGTGATCGAAGTAATCAAAACTGTCTCTTAAGCTGTGTCGACACTTCTCTCCTGATTGGTTCTAACAGACTGACCAGCCATTTTGCCAAAGCATAATAAGGAGAGTTAGACATATCGAGGATGCGCCTGAGAGGTAGGCCGGGTTCGTGCACTTTCGGGAGACCATAGAGCCGAGGGATTGTTTTGCCAGTGGGGTGGATATGCTTGAAAGTCTTGGTGTCAATGCTTCCGGATTGTTTAATGCGTTTTAGTATTTTGGACACCACTTTTTCAATTACGTGCGTCTTGTTTTTGTCGGATTCATTTTCTTAAATTTGGATCTGTCTGGGAGTATGGTAATCTTATCAATGTAGTCGGATTTATTCATCAAGACAATTCCCGAGCCTTCATCTGGCTTGGACAGTAAAACTTGGTCGTTTAGCTGTAAACGTTTCAGAGCCTCGAAATATTCCTCTGGGTTTGTAGCTGAGGTACTTGTAACATGAATTGACTAGCGTCGATTTCAGTTGTTCTGCACCTAGTTCGGAGGAAGGTACTAGCATGGATAGCTGGTCATATAGATTCTCAAATTGGACTTCAAGCTCGAGCTGATAGTTTCTACGACTTGGACAACAAAATTTTGTACCTAGTGACAACGCCTCCAAAAGGGTGGTGTCCAGCATTAACGAAGAAAAATTGTGCACTTACCTTTCTGGATTTGTTGGAAACTTGGTGCATGGTGCCACGTCACTTACTTGACTCCGTTACCCATTGACCTACCCCTCGCCCAACCCCCCTTTCTGTGACTTCTATTTCTCTAAAGTGTATGTAACCCCGATCTTAAACATTTCCACGTGATTTCTGCTACCATATAAATTTGTGATGTACTAGCCAAGATGAACAATCACAGAAAACAAGCTTTGTTCGCTACCTTCTTCGTTCTCAACTACTACAACGGGTATATTCAACCGCTTTCATGTATTCGTTCGAGCTACTTCATCCGTGATCGTTCCAGTTATTTCTAGTGGGCCCGATTTCCAGGGCAACCATGGACTTAACGAACGTAACCTGTATTTCAGAATAAACTGAAGTAAGTAAAAACTGAACCCCATCATTGGTAGTTTGTGGTCGTGCATGGCTTCAACAGCAGAGAAACCTGTGGCTGCGCAGCATTGCCCACTGCACCTGATCACTGGGATAAAACAAACAATGTTTAGTACAACCTTTGACAATATGCCCATATACTCACGTTTACGTTTTATTTAACGTGTAACCTAGAATATGCCTCTAAAAGCTGTCTATATCTGGAACTCTCGGATTAGATGAGAAGGTAACTAGTCCTCAGTAGATCGTGTCATTTTATGAATCGGAACAACAGTTAGGAGTGCATAGATAGAAGTTATATGAGGTTTTTGACCAATCGAGTTCCCACGAAGTCGGACATTTGGACGATACAGGCGTTCTGTCTACGGGCAAACACTTGAGAAAAGGAGATTAAACTGTTCAAACTAGAGAAAATGAAACATGCGCGATTCACAAATTGCAGCTATAGTGTCACACAAATAGCGCCGGCGAAAGCGCCTATCGTCGGATCGCGGTAAGTAGGTAAACCTTGAAATGACGCCATTGAGGCCTGGTAATGATTATTTCAATGGTCTAATAAAATGCCAAAAAGCCAATGGATTTTGAATGTTCGCGTAACTGTTACTATCATTGTCATTTACCACTTCATACAACTCCTATGATTCGCTGGAATGGCCTACTAACATCCGTGGATTGAGGGTGCGGAAGCAAATTTAGTTAATGAAAAAACACCAACTGCTTGAACTCCATCCTCGTAGGTCACCATATTCGCTCCTGGATGCGCCCTGATCGATCCTTAGCAGCTTTATTAATTAAACGTTAAATACAATTAGTTGCCTCCTAGAAAAGCCTGTCAGTCACGTTACTACTGCTCTTATTTGCATGCACGACTAGGCTTCAGTCAACCGTTATGCACTTCAATACATTCTTATGGGCGCAGCAGCTAATGGAACACTGTCGAAAGGCTCAATCCCGCGGTTTAAATCTATAAGCCCTCTTCAACTGTTAGCCTAATATTTCTCGATTGCTCCGACTTCCTGAGTAATCCTGGTCCATCGAATTAGATGTCTGGCTTAATGACTATCCACTCACGGAATTAGTGAAGCCATTGCAATATCTGCGAGAAGATAGTTTTTTAAATGGTTTTCTGTTTTTATGATACATCTGAAAGTGTCGTTTTGCAATCCAGCTAGTTTTTGCTATCTTAGCGTGTTTGACAGGGTACGATCTTTGGACCTTATGCTACTGTGCATCAACAGCTGGTGAGCATACTGGGTCACTACCGTTCATTTGAACTTGGATTATCTTCTCAAGCGTATCGTAGAAGTGATGGGATCGAGTTAGAGAAACTGCAGGCGAAAAATACCTTCAAGGGACAAACCTCTGCGATGTGGGAATTTTTGCTTTGTTGCCAGTTGAA